AGCTTGCGTTAACGAGTAACATGTAAAATGTACTAGGGTGATTTATGAAGGAAGAGGGTTTTGTGAGTTTTTTTCAATAATTTTTCAAAATTATTAAATTTTGAAAGACTGTATATACATCAAAATGAGAAGTTTTAAAAGTAATAAGAATTACATAAGGTGGTATCTTCCAAGTTTTGAGTGTGTTCTTGTAGTTCTGCTGATAGATAAGTCCACAGGCAGTCAGCTATATGGGCCTCCTAGGTATGTCTTTCTTCCATCCTGTTTCTCAACTCCCAGAAGAGTTGCATTTACCAAAATTGTAGCTGTCTCAGTAAGGTTTGATTTCACCTTTGATGACAAGAAAAAAAGAAAACTTTGATCCCATTAGAAAGCAGAGCAGCGGCTAGCAGTGATGTTAACTTCACTAGGCAAAACTGTGTATGAATCTTAGAAAGAAAGTAACTGTATATTAATTTTCACTGAAAAAAAAAAATTGCGTTCAATAAGACGATTCCCAACTTTCTTTTGAAGTTAATTATATGCTGTTAGTAATAAGTAATGTAAGTAATTAGTGTCACATTGGTATTTATTCCAGCAAAATATGTCATTTTGCCTGTTGCTCCAGATGATGGCTTTATCTGTGGAGTTAAAACTTTTATTTTAAATGCTTCTAAAAGTTACATTGGAAATTCCCAACAGGACTATGATTTTTTCACCTTTCTTTCAAGGCAGCATGTAATTATGTTAGATATAATCAGTACGTTGTGAAATTGTCAGTTTATTTACTTGGATTTTTAACTCTGCTGAGATTGAATATAAAGGACATTGGTCGTAACATCAATTAACATGGAATAGGTTTTCTTTGCTAAAAAATACCATTTTTCATAGTTCAATTGCAGTTATATTGTATTTATGTATGGATGCATAAACTTTATTCGGCTTATCTAATGAAAATTAGACCAAGAGCTGCCATGTTTAGTTTGAATGCATTCACTGCATGTTATGTTAATTTCATGCGATAGTCAGGCCTGCGGGTAATTCCATTTATTTATAGTGCTGCTGAGTGTAAAGCAAAATTGGGTCTCAAGTTTTCAGCATACTCGGATTTCTGTAGATTATTAAAAACGTGGTGTCAGCCTGAAAAGTTTACTGCCCAAAGCGGAATGTGGTTTAACACAGGAAACATACTGTATCAGCTAGCAGTTAAGGAGAGAGACTATTAAGATGGATTTTAAAAGAAAATTGCACTCCAAATGTTATCAGATATTTAATATATCTCTCCTAGATTTTTATCATGTGACTAAAAGAAGTAGGAATCCCTAAGTATCAGTTGTTATTTACTGCAGCCTGTTCAGGAAGGTGTGTAAGCTCGTGCGTAACTGTCGCTGAGCTTCACTGACTTTGGCTAGCTCTTGTAGTCAGTGGGACATCAGCCAACGGGTGCTTAAGGGCATTGTTGAATCTGGGCGTGCACCTTCAGTAGCAGATCAAGGAGGAATCTTTACCTGGGGTGGCTTTTCTTAGCTGTTCACGGCTAGAATCAGATTGCGGAGGGCATCTCAACTTAATGATGACATGAAACACCTTGTTTCCAAAAAAAAGTTCAGGTCAGTACTCGTTTTGAAGTCAAAAATGAGAAGAGTTGCTGCTTCTTTCCGGTACCAGAAGCCTAAGCCACCTACCAGATTCCAAAAGCCATTGGTGCTTTACCAGATGCGAGCAGACCCATGCGTCCATACAAGCAGTCAAAATCTGTAATTTCCTAGCTGTCAGTTCTGCAATGTAATGACAATATCTAACCACCAAAGGTTTGCTGCATATTTAAACTGAGCGGAACATAAAAGCAAATCACATGTATTATCAAAGTAAGTAATGTAAGGAAAAACATTCTCATTTTATTATTCACTTGTCAATTCAGTATAGCAAAACTATTTTAAATGTACATGAATTCTTGTAACAATTCCAATCTGCTACAGAGTTCAGCAACTATCTGAATATATGATCAGTATGGCCAGAATAATGTGATGGGTCTTCACTCGATTAGGCATGGATTCAAAATAGTACTCTGCACATGCATGGTGGAAGTCCGTATATCACTGTCATAAGACATGGTTTTTAGGAAATAAATTTGCTGAGAATAATTTTTGTTCCCCAGATGTGTTTCAGCTTCGTTTTGTGCAAATTAGGGGGAACAGCTTTAATTATTTTATGGTGTTGGATTTGTCTGCTTCTGTAGCAGTAGTAAGATATATTTTTCACAATTGGTAGAGACATTGTTATATATAAGGCAGCTGGATTGCTTTGTTTCAGGAGTCTAAATTAATTGCGTACAATACATGTATGACATTTCCAGTACTTTGCATGTAAAACTGAGAAGCTAAGATTTCAGTGCTACATCTCAGTTAACTATGGCATTCTGTCTTGCAGCTACAAAGCAAATAAACAGTTAATTAATTTCACTGTTCTTAAAACAGCAGTATTATACTTTATTCCTAACTGAGATCATTTTACATATCTTGTCATATGCTGGACAAGAAAAAATATAGGTATAGATAATACTTCCATACTACAAATCCAGGGGGTACTGCTGACGTAGAATATGTGGAGAATTTCATACTTGCAAGAAGGAATGGAAAAATAATCTACTGTGTTGTTTATGTGGTGATGATATATATCTTTGAGACATATGTTAGCTCTTGGAATATTGAATGCTCTCTAGGTGAAGATACATTGCTCAGTTTTTATAAAGATATTTTTATGTATATTTTGGGTAAAAGCCAAAACTCTTACAAATAACTTGAGCTAAGGGATTAAGTAGATAACTTGAAACAATGAGGATGGATCATTTTATACCTTGTTATAAATAAGCATGTACAGAAATAAGATACGTATTTCTTTGAAAGCTGTTGAGCATTCCTAAATGTTGTAAAGTCTGATTTTAAATGGGAAGTTTTCCGATTAAATGAAAAAAATAATAACAATATTTATCATATCCTTATATTAAACTACAAATACATGTGCTAATTTTCGAATGGGGGTTAAGGATAACAATAGGAAATAATGCAGAAACTGAAAATTAAAAGCAGTTGAGGCTATGTCCTTTAGTCTTCTGACTTCTTACAAACTAATTTGGGTTTTTTATATACGTGTCACAATACCGAAAGGCATCATTAAAACATATGTTGAGTTTCTCAGTGACCACTTTTCTTACTGTTTTCCTCTACCAGACTGGAATGTGTTATGAAGTGTGAGCACTTGCACACCTTTTGTTTTCCATGTGCAGTTAGCATACATGCATTCATGCAGAGTTAGACATGTTAAAACCTTCAGTAACTGTGCAGAAATAAAGCTTCACATCTACGAACTTGTTATACACCTTTTCAGAATACATATGTAAGTAGTTTTCTAAATGCTACTATATTTAAGTGTGTATAGACATTGGTATTCTGTTTAGGTGAGCTTGATAAAGTAACAGAAGATTAAGTATTTGTTATTGGAAAATCACAAAGGATGAAATCGACTTTTAAAGTAACAAGAAGCAAAATAGTCTTGTGATGAGTTTTTTAGTCTATTGTTTTAAACCTGCAGTCCATAATCACTCATCAGCCATTTAAGAAAGAAGAGTGAGATGAATACAAATAACATCCTAATGATCCTTAACATGATTGTTCCTGTAATGCAGATTTTATATTTCTGCTATCACAGTTGGCTGGTGCCAAGTTTTTGCTAGTTGCTGTGTTTTAGAGAACTCTGATATGAGATGAAGGCGTAAATGAAAAGTCTGGCAGAGGAGCGCTTGAGGTATTTCAATTTTGGAATTTGGTCAGATGTTATAGACAGTTAATAGGAGTGTGGTTTGAGTTGGAGGCTGCCTGTTGTAAGAATGAATTTTAAAAATATTGAAATGAGTTGTTCAAATGGAAATGTTGTTTTGCCATTCGTCATCCAGAGGCACAATGGTGATACATTTGTCTAATAGAACTATGTGCATTATTGTGTTCTTCAGTGTTGGCAAAAAGAGCTAATGAAAAAAATCTAGTCACTTAAAAAAAAGTATCTTTTTTAACTCTTGTTGAGTATTTTTTTGCTCTATGTTTTTTAAAAAAGTCTTAAAAATTCAAGTAGTTTGTTTTTTAAATATTAAGTTACATTCCAATTCTGGTTTCTTTTAAAAGACTTCCGTAATAAAATCACTATTTTCATCAGTGCAATTACTAGTTGATTTACTTTGGCATACCCTTTTCAGCCTAGAGAGACAGGAATGATACACTTGACTGTTGAATGAAGCATTCTGAGGCTGTGAAGAGAATGAGTTTTCATCTTCTTTTAAAGTTAACCTTGTGCCAAACTTTTGTAGAGACTGTGGAGGTGATTATTTCGTATTAAATATATGTAAATTCCTTTGTGTAAACTTTTTGAAAGTACATTCTTTAGTCATCACATCACTTCCATTTTAGTCAGATTCGCTGTTGACCCAAATGGAAGCAAGGTACCTTTTTATTGTTTCCTAAACAAGGAATATTTTCCTTTTTATATGTAAACTGTATTGGTCAAATTATGTTTGGACATGGCAGTGAGAAAGCTGTTAATAAATTCCTTAAATGGGAAGAATCATAGCAATACCTATCTAGCAGAAATCGAGGAGAGATATGTATATGTACACACATATGCACACACATAAATGTATGTTATTCTTACATGATATCAAGTGATTAAAAGTTACATTGTGTATAGAATCATAGAAACCTTTAGGTTGGAAAAGACCTTTAAGATCATAGAGTCCAACCATTAACCTAGCACTGCCAAGTTCACCACCAAACCATGTCCCTAAGCACCACATCTGCATGTCTTCTAATATATATATACACTAATGTATATATTATATTATATTTTATATATAATGCTAATATATTATGTATAGGCAGGATATCAGAGGGACTCCATAAGGCAGAAATAAAATGATAATGCGTAACATTCAAAATGGTTTTGCTTATTTTCTTCGTATGTTTTTCTTGAAGGATTGTTCATCTTCGGAAGAATACAGCATTGCTGCAGCATTGCTGCCCCTGACGGCTGCTTTTTATAGGGTAAGTCTTTATTGAAAATCACTCCTATTTTGTATTATTTTTACATAACGTACATTGTTAAAATGAATGAAATGATGACAGGAGATACGTGGCGAGTAGAAAGGTTCATTCTAAAATTGATTGATGTCAATGGAAGTCTTTTAATAGGCTGTTATGGACGTTGCTCCAGAATTACACTTACTGATGTTGGGTGATAATGATTGTGATAAATTTACCCGGAACTAAATGCAGGCTTATATGATGGGTTAGAGAATTATCATTGAATTATAACTAGTCACTAAAATAATTGAAAAGAATAATTTCTGATGTTAATGTGTAAAAACTGTTTATTGGAGTACTTTTTTGTTTAATTTGGCATGTTAAGCATTGGCCAAAAAGTACATGTTAAGTTTTCGGTCTGTGTAGTTGTTAACTTTGGAAAATGTTACGAATGGCTTGTTTTAACTGTACATTTGTTTTCAATTTCTTGTGTTGGTTTTTTTTCTTTTCTTATTTTGCATAATGTTTGATAGTGATAAAATATAATAGTAAATATGAAAATGTAAATAATGAAAATTCTGCAAGTAATTATTTCAAAAGCAGAACTTTTGTAGTATGGCTGTAGTTATTTCAGTGTCCCAATACAGTAGCATTTTCTCCAGTTCTGGTTAGCTCAAGTGCCACTTTTTAGGATACACATATCTGAGGAGATAAGAAGTTCAAAATATGGACTTGCTTGCAATATTAAATAATCTTTGTTTAACATGAATATTGTTATACAACCCAGTTTGGCAAATAAGTGTTTAATCATTGGTCATTGGTACGTCATGACACTGCAAAACAGTAGTTACTGTGACAGTCTAGCCAGACATTAATAATGTGATAGAAATTAAGAAAAATATAACCTTCCATCCTTCAGATGGTGTGTGAGGCATTTATGAGTAGCCAGAAATAAAATGCAGAGATTGCTATTTTAGCTGAATAGAAAATAAGCAACAATAAGCTGAGAAATCAATCAGTGCTTTTTAATTTAAACTATACATTCTAATTGAACAATTTCTGGTTGTTTTAAACTAGAAATAGATTTTGTGTTGTAGTTTTTACAATAAGAAATGTGGAATGTGGAACTTTACCAGTCATAGAACATAGAAACAGCTGCTGAAGACGAGGGTAATTTTGACAGTCATATGCATAGGAAGTTTCTTGAAATCTCCTATTTAAGCCAGTATTTGCTATATACATAGAGCACAAAGTGGTAGATTTTCTCTTTTGTAATCGTTTGAACTGTGAAAAAGTTTTATTTCAATGAGCTTTATTTTAGAGCTGTACATAATACCCCAAGACTGCTTTCTAGAAAGAGTCTACAGAGTATTTTCATTCTCTTATATAAGCTAGTGTGGTGAGACATTACATTTTTCAATCCCAGCAAATAAACTTTCTCCCATCTTTAATTACAAATTCATCTTTTTCTATTCCCTCTCTTTTCAGTCCTTGAGTAGCAGTATCATGAGTTTTGTCATTTGTTGCTGCCACTAATACTTAATTTGGAGAAAAAGCTAATGAGCTATAGAGATTTTCCATTTGCCTGTTTTATTCTTGCTACTGCATTAATCCTGTGTTATGAAGAAAGATTGACTTTAGTTTTGTTTTATTTTATGATTTTTAGTTCCTCTAATAATAGCCAAGAGAGTCCAGACAGCTCTTTCTCTTGAGAGATACAGAGAGTATTTGGGGGAGTTGTAGCAGTTTGGTTAGATTCCTCATTTGGTAAAGTTCGATCAAGTAGAGAAAAAGAAAAGGCAGTAAAAAAAAAAAATACTTTTTTGTGTGGAGTATCATGAGTGTTGAAATAATCTTAAATAAGTTTTAATTTCACAATCAATGAGAGCAAAAAGCTGGATTGAATGTAGAATATCTTTAAGTAATTTCTTCTATACACTTGTATTTTTGGTAGGAGTACCAAGATCTCACACCATTTCTCTCACAAAAAGTTCTCTGAAATCTTTTGTGTAATAACCTAGTCCCATACTTAGTATTTAACTCTAAAGCTATACACTCAGGAAACTGTGAGTCCCTGGATGTAAGAAGCATGATCATTTTTTTAATGTTCCAGACCTGAATTAAAAATTAAAGTAACCTGACTGTTAACTTGCAAAAGCCAGCTGTTAATGCATAATAGAAAAAGAATTTTGTTTTTCCCGGATCTAATCCTCAGGTTCAGTGATGGTCCCCTTCGGTATGTCCCATTAGATACAATTCTTTGGCAAAAGTACCTATTTTGGTATAAAACTATTCATACTAAACACAAACTGATGTGTTGTTCAGAACATAAGATCAGCAGACAAACTTTGCAATGATTAGTTAAAATTAAGATTAACAGTTTAAGGTTCTGTTTTGAATTTGAGTAAAAATGAAACTTTTGGGAGCATTTTTCAGCTTCTCTAGAGGTTTTCAAAATTGTATCCCAAACTAGAGTGAGTGTGTTCTACCTGGCATGAACCTGTGTAGGAACAATGTTCTGCATCAGTATTCTTAAATTAAGAAAAAAGGGTGTCGTTTTTCCACCCTGTTAACATCTCTATAACCCTTTGGAGGGATTCCTGCTCTAGAGTTACACTAAACTAATGTTCCTCTTCCCCTGTTTTGGGGAGAAATAATATCAAAACCTGCTGCTTTACTTTTCTCCCTTGAGCTTCCTGCTTTGTAATGTATTAACAGTTTATTATATGTTCTCTTTTCACTGGGTTTCCCTTTACAGAAATCTTAGATAGAATGATTAAAGTTCTGTTGCTTAACACAGCATATTGCTCTTCTGTCTCTGATAAGTCCAGAGGAATGTACAAACTAAAATTAAGGTCATTTGGGGGATTATTTGTTTTTTATTAAAATACCTTCAGGAAAACTGGTATGTTTGCACTGTCAAACTATGTCATGGCCTTTTCTGCTGAGTTGCTTGTCAATTTTATTTAATTACCATATATAGTGTAGTTTACACACACACGCGCGCACACACTTCAAGCTGCATTTCATTTGTCTGTAGGCAGAGCACAGGTATTCCAATACTGTTGCTTCAATATGCAGAGCTGTCTCACCTCTGCTATAAGTGTGATTGTGTTTATGCTTTCCAAAAAATGGGGAAGTAGTGCTTGGCAGTATGTACTTGTTTTTATTGATGTTTCTGTTATCAGAATACCATGTTTAATGCCAGCAGCATACTAATATTATTTCACCTAGCCCTTTTGAAACTCCACAGTGTTCTTGGAAGCCAGGAATAGACAAGAATTGTGAATCTAATAGTGACATGGGTTTTCATTTGTGTGTGCATTGGTATTACTGCACAAGTGGTATTCCAAATCAAGTTATCGGTGAGAAAGCCTGTAGTAAATCTAAATACGTTGTAGAGTTGTATCAGTCAAATATATATTTTGCCATCGATGTTTGCTATGGCATTTTGATGGGAAATTATGATGGGATTTCATATCACAACATTTCATTGTCAATGTAATTCATGTTGCTCTAAATGAAATAATAAAAAGAAGTTACACAACATCACAGTTCCTTTGTGAAAGGACTATTGTGTATATGAACTGTTACATTTCATTTTATTTACCCAACACAAAGCAGAGCACTAATGAAACAATTACCTGTTGTTCCTAAATAGCTTTAATGTACATGGCCACACATAGTGCAGACACTGTTTGAGGTGCATAAATAATGAGAAAGATGTGTTTTCATGTGAGTCCAGCAGATGAAACCAAGAAACTGAGTAGTAAGAGAAACATACTTCTAGAGGTGATGTTGGTGAGATTAAGGAATGGTCCTCTCATGAAGTAGTCAGTGCTCTAGCCTTGAGGTATTTAAAATATTCTTGGGAAAACAGTAAAAAATATATAGAAAGGAACAAGCTTGTATGATCTAACAGGTCTTGTCTTAATTTCTTTGCTTACGTAAAGATTAGTCTAGGGTATTTCTACATATATCTAATTAAAATAACAAGAAACATCACCCTGTGTACAGCATGCTATCAGCTCTTGAGATGTCTGGTGAAATTTCAGAATTCCAGCTCCTGAAGTCTGGTGAGTGATCTGTTGTGAAACTTGATCAGGCAGGATTTGATTGCACTCTAACTCATGACTGGTGGGATTAAATTCATAGACAGGAAGTCAGTACTGGTTGCATATTTGTGGCCTGGAGAAATAATTCAATTTTTCTAGAAAAATAGTCACAATGCTTTTTAAAAATTTTAAATATTGGCCATGAGCTGTTAGCAAAATGTGACTCATCAGTGACAGTGGACTTTGGTGTGTACTGTTAATGTCACAAAAACAAACACATCTTTTGCTTCTGGGTTAGAAAAAGGTTTTAGTTTACCGTTAGTAATACTGTTGGAATGTTGTTTAAAATTGAAACAGTATAAATAAAATGTATTTATTCATGAAGATAAAAGAATTTTTCCATGTTTTTTTGGTACGGATGAGCCATGCTTATTTGGTATGCTGTCAATTTTTCTCTGTGTAAAATAGAAATGTAGTATATATAAAAGAGGTTTTTTTCTACATGTGGGAAGAAAGGACAAGATGAAAAGGACATATTTTAATCGTATTTTCATTTTATTAACTCATCAAGGAAGACAGTTTAATGATCCTATAATTGGCATTGTCAAATTCACAGGATTTGGAGACTCTGTTTCAATTATGTCTCTTTGCCAAGGTGGCAAGATGTCATGCAGACTGCGCTGCATTTCATGAAGGTTTAGTATGCAGCAAGAGTGATGATCAATGGCAGGCACCAGTTTCAGCCTGTCCGCTGGACAACAGGCAGAAGGAGCAAAAGCTCTCTTCCTCACTGCTATTCCATGCCAAGTCCCAGTCAGAGTCCACTTCTCCATCTTCCCTCCCTTTTCAACAAGGTGATGTTTGGCAGTCTGATCAAACATTCTTTCTTGCATCCCTCAACCATTGCAGCACCTGAATGTGCAGATTATAATACAATTTTCTGACTTTCAGGAGATTTTTTTTTTT